TATATATATATATATATATATATATATATATATATATATATATAGATAGATAGATATTAAAAACCCAATCTTTAACCGCCATCGTATTATTTGTTTCATATAAGGTGAAAGGGTAAATAAATGGTTTAACAATTATTATTGAAATTTACATTCATGGCACTCAAATCATTCATATTTACAAATTTGACACCCAAATATTTGTATTTACATATAAAGCATTAAAACCACCTAAAATATACAAAAATTCTTCTCCTCCCTTAAATCTCATATGAACGCAGGCGTTGAAATGAATGTCTCACTCTCTCTCTCTCCTGTACGCCACGTGCAGCCAATCTTTCTCAATCGGAAGTCTTGCAGACAAGAGAAGCCTCGGGTGGTATGATTTTGCAACCGAGTTAAAAAGGGAGAAATTATTTCGTACGTCTGAGTCCATCATTATAATTAATTTTTTTTTAAAAAAATAAAATAAAAGTAGGGCTTACTGAAATACATCTTTGTGATAATTGATGGTAGAGATCGGACACTCTTTATGAAATAATTTTTCATAAAAAAAAATAACCCGAGTGCAATTTTTGTAAATATCAAGATTTAGATGTAAAATATGCAGATACGAAAGTTCTGAGTGGTATATTTGTAAATACTCCATTATTATTTAATGCTAATTATTTTAATCTGTTGATTGAGTATGTAACTTGAAAAAGATATCCTCGTGTCTCGGGATAGGCCAAGTGGCCCATGATGTACACTGTTTTTTAATAAAGCAGGTGGATATATATATATTTCTTAAGAGAAAAAGAAAAGTATAGGCCGGCGGATCGCTAATTGGTTGTCAGAGGCGGCAAAAATCAGTAATTAAAGAGCAATTGAAAGGCTAAATGAGATAGTTCCAATGCAAGGGGAGTTCTTATTTATATGCCTGTTATAAGTTGATTTTGTTTACCGAACACCTACTTTTCCGGGCTTTCTCAGGAATGAATTGGTTTATTGATAATAAAATAAAATATAAAAAATACAAAGAATATTTTGATTATACTGTTTTCAAAATATTTTATAATTAATTAATTATTGTAATATATTGTAATAT